GTTAATTTTATGGTATGTTAATTTTAAAAGTTTTAAAAACTGAAACAAAATATATCCAAATAAGCTTTTTAAAAAAAATGCTTTCAAAGAAATTTCCCGTCTGGGTTTCCTCCAGATGGGCTTCTTCTGCTTTATGGGTGCACTGCCACACCAGCTCTGGTCTTTGTGGGTCTGCTTATTCATTCAACTCTCAAATGAGATCAGCCTAGAGCAGCGATGTTCCTTCCCCCCGACCCTTAAACTGCAGCCCTGGGCAGGCCCTGTGTGGAAGTAGGGGTGGGATAGGTTTGGAGAGAAGGAGCATTTGGCCTTCAGTGGGCTCTGGACCCACAGAGCAGTTGTGCTTTTGTCTGGCCCGTATAATGTTCATCTAAAAATCTCTGGATTAGAAGAGCTGGTCTTGACCCAGATTCTCAGGCACTGGGGCTGGGGTATGAACACTCCTGGATTCTGCGGCCCACTGGCAGGGCCTACTTGTTTGTCCTTTTGGGACACACCCTGTGGACCCCAGCCACATCGCTGGCTCTGATGATCAGCGATCTAAACAAGGCCCTTTGGGGGAAGCTCGGTTCCCAGGTCACACGTGGATGAAACATAATGGGAATTCTGAAGAGGCTTCGAGGTCTAGGCCTCCTCCAAGGCAGAGTTGGAAAGGCCTTAAACCACTTTTTTCCCACGCAGGATGACTTTTTGGAAGAGCATTTTGTAAGCAGTAATGGGCTATACACAGATGGGGGAAAGGCTGTTGTGAGGATGACTTGCCGACTTGGACCAGCGGGGTCAGAGCATCATTCGTGACGAGAGCTGCGGGTTACACTAAGCACCTGCCACGTACCAGGCACCGCGCTAAGGAATCATGGAATCTTCATGACTACCCTGTGAGGAAAAGGGCTGTCACTGCTTGGGTGAGGAAACTGAGGCTCCAGGAGGCCCCAGATCACACGGGCAGGAGCTGGCAAGGCTGGGTTCCAGGCCGCAGCTCCAGCCTTCTGAGCCGAGGCCTGTGAGGGGAACCTCTGGAGCCTGATGACAGGCCCGCTCTCCACATGGGCCCCGAGACAAAGACTAATGTCACCTTTAACCAAAAGGTGGTAAGGGGACCTTGCCACGTACAACAGTGCTCAAAAAGAAATGTTTTTTAAAAATTTGTATCTAATGGAATGCTTCTTTTGAAAACTATCTTACGCGTAAGGCCAATGTAGAAAACCAGAGTTGAGCCCCTGTGGTTGAAGGTGGAAGCTGGCTTTGCATGGGGCCCCTTGGGCTCCCAGAGCACGCTTGAAGGCTACTTATCCAGTAGGTTGGCACTTACTGTGGGAAGCACAGGAGATGATGTGATGCTTAAGGCTGGCTTCAGATGTGAAAGAGTGAGATGAGATTGTGGTGGACTCATTCCTGGGGGGAGAGCTGCAGGATTCCAGGCCTGCCTTACACACTGGGTGCTGGCCCATCTGACCTGGGTACCACCTGGCTCCCCCTCCCCCTCTGGTCAGCAGCCACAAGCTGTCACTCACGGGGTAGGAAACTTCTCTTTACCATCTTACACTTAGTTTAATCTTTAACGATAGGAATGATCAGGTTAAAAGCTGCAGCACCCTTCCTTTCTTCTTGCCTGTATAAAGGCATCGTCTGGTTTTTCTGTATCAACAAAGGGAGACCATTTAAGGGCAAATCTTGGTGTAGGATCAATGGCAGATCTGTACATCTGACCTCGCCGCAGGGGCTGACAGGATGGCTCACAGTGGGATCATGAGACGGACCTCCTTCTCATAGATGTCAGGGATCACTCCCACAGGGGAGCTGACCATGTGCACTGTGTTCTTTCCGAACAGCTGGAACTCATAGTGGATGAGCTGCTCCCAAAAGCCATTGTTGGGCCGGATGATGGGCCGGCACGACTTGGTCCACGTGTGGGCCTCCAGCAGGGACATGGCGTGGTACTTCATGAGGTAGGCGAGGCAGAGGGCGGCTGAGCGGCTCACGCCAGCGGCGCAGTGCAGCAGGGTGCGGCCCTGCTCCATCTCCACGCTGTGGATGTGGTCTGCAATGGGGTCAAAGAAGTCACAGAGCCGCGAGCCGGGTGTGTCAGCCACAGGCACCTGCACGTAGCGGATGTCCTCGTACACCGTGTTCACCACCTCCACCGAGACGTTGATGACCGTGGTGATGTGGTTGCTGGAGAGCATGAGCTTGTTGTTGGCAGCCACCCCATTGCTGATATACAGGCTGCTGGTGATCTGTGAGAGGCCGCTGACCGAGGGCTGCCGAAACTGAACCGGGAAGGCACACGGGGATGCTGTCATTGGGCCGGTAGGTCAGCGGCCAACGAGGCATGAAGGCTGCATCTTCCTGCTAGGCTGTGTCCATGGAGAACTGCAGGGAGAGAGAGGACACAAGTGAGGAGCCCAAGTTCTGTTCCCCCTCAGTATATTTCATATATTTCAGCATCTGCCCTGTTAGAATGAGACAGAGCCCCTTAGCTCTGCTGTCAAGGCCTTTTGTGGCCTGGCTCCTGCCCATTTCTCCTACCTCCTTTTAACCTTTCCTGCATCCTGCATTCCTTGACCTCAGGGAGGCCAAGCCAATTGCAGTTCTGTATGGGATCTGATCCTCTCTGGCCCAGGGCCTTTGTTTCTCTCAACCAGAACCCCCTTTCCTGACAAGTCTGCCAGATCCTAATATGTTCCATTCGGCACTGGGATCTTCACCTAGGGTCAATTCCTGAAGGAAACCTCCCAGGACTACACCCCTACCCCTACATTTAATCAAGTCCCTGCTCCAGGCAGGCCCCAGGTGCCCTTCTTCCTAACATTTATTGAAGATGTGGTTTTGCTGTGATCTGCCCACGAATCCTTCTGGGATAGCACTGTGTCTATCTTCACTTCTACTGTATCACCAGTGCCAAGTTGCCTGTCCCCACAGATATCTGTTGAACATAGGAATGATTCCAACAACCACGACTCTGCCACCTCTAGAATTTTGGGGAGGAGCTGGGTCGAGGTGAGGGTGGTTCTTGGGCTGCAGGAGAGGAAGGCAAAGGCTGCACAGACAAATCCAATGCCCAAAGTCCAATGCAACAGGCTCATCCCCAGTAGGGCAGATGGGGCTGGTTTGTTCTAAATGTCACGTGAGTGCAGGGGAAAAGGCCATCCCCCAAACCCAGATGGAAGCCTATATGCTAAGGGATGTTCTGGATCCTTAACACACGAAAACCAAGGCAGAAGTGGACTGAGGGACCCCAAAACTAGTGTCCAGTGGGCAATAGGAATAGTGGAGACTGCTGCCAATTACAGGGACAAAGAGGGTGCAGAGGAGACACTGCTCTGGAAGGTGAGGGTAGTGATGGGAGGAAAGTCATTTTCCTGCTGGTCAAGAAATATTTATCAGGCACTGTAGTAGGTGCTGGGTGCTGGGATACTGAAATGCACCAGACAGCCATCGCCCCCGCCTCATAGAGCTCAAAGTCAAGTGGGAAAGGCAGACATTAAATAGGCAATGACAAGCGCAACAGAGTTGGAAAACAGGGATGATAGTGCTTACCTTACAAGAATCTTCTGAGGATTACGTGAGGTAACCTACGTAAAGCGGTTAACACAGGGCCTGGCACAGAGTGAGCCCTCTGTAAATGATAACTATTGTTGCTGTTGTTAGGGGGGTTATAATGCAGGGCATTAGAGGAATGAAGAGTAAAGGCATTTATTTCAGATTGGGGCTAAGGAGAAGCACAGATCGCTGGAATAAATGACACAAAGATCTGAAGAACGTTTAGCGTGGGGGGAGGGAGGGGGAGAAACAGCGACTCCGCAGCAGCTCAGTCACGGTTTCATGGCCTAAAAGCTTTGGTTCCATCTCCAAAACAACACAGTGAGCTGGTGTCTGAAGTTAATATCTCCATTTTACACACGGGGAAAGTGAGGCAAGAAGGGGAAATGACCTGTCTAGGGTCACAAAGCAAGGTCCAACAGCCGGTCTTTCTGGTCTCATTACGTGTGGGAAAAGTCGGCAAGCCACACCGCGGGGCTTTCGTTAATACTGGGTTATAAACGTGGAACAAAGTCAAGTGTCGACGGGAGAAAGACGCCACTTCCAGGGGTGAATCAGGTAGGTTTCCCGGGGAGTTGGCGTTGGAACGGGCGTCTTCACCCGCTCGGTGTCAGGACTTCGGTGTCTTACCTCTCTCGTGCGGGCGAAAGGACAAGTTCATTCAGGGAGCAACCCTGGGAGAGGATCTCGGGTTGGGAGAAGACGGATCAGGATCGGGAAGCCGCAATTCCCGCTGGCCTGGCGCTCCGGTTCCCATAGCAATGGTCCCCTGTCGCGGGGAGGAATTGACCGTGCTGGGTCTACGGAGAAACCCCAGCCTCGTCTCCCGGCCCCGGAGCTGCCCCACCCAGACTCACCCGGTTACCGCCCGGCGATCGCGTGGGGACCACCGCAATCCTAGCCAGGAAGTACGGTCCGCTCAGCGCGCTGCAGCCCTCTTCAGTTCTCCTAACCAGTCTCCACGGCAACGCGCCGGGCCGCACCACGGCAGTCGCCGAGGGACAATCCTGCTGCGTCGGCAGCCTTCCGGGCTCCGCGCACACTGCCTGCCCAGAGCCCCGGTGGTCCCGCCTCACTAGCGCGTCTCCTGGGCAACGCGCTGTGCTCAGCGCAGCGCGTCTGCGCACCGTGTCTGCGCAAGGCTCACTCTGCGCCTGCGCAGGGTTCACTCCGCGTCTGCGCGCCCTCGGTGAGTATGGATCCCCAGCTGGCACTAACTCCTGAGACACTCTCGAGGGTGGAAGATGAGTACCCAGCAGCTAGCCAGCAGCCCAGGCCGTCGATCACCTGGAACCGAGGCTCGCCCATTGCCTATGCGGCCGCCGACCAGGCGACCACCAGTTCTGGCACCAGCCCGGCTTCGGTCTTCCTCTGGCGCGGTAGGCTCGGCAGCCGCCCCGACATTCACGTGGGGACTCAGCCGCGTATCTGCTTCCTGCGGCCGCGAACCTCCCAGCCGCTGATGCTCTTCAGGTGCGGCCCGGGGCCCTAGGGCAGCCGAACTCCCTCAGACCCCCGCTCCCTCAGCCGGCCGCTGGGACCTTGGCCCTGGCCCTCCCAGAGCCTCGGGCCCCTCGGAGCCCGACCTGTTCTTGGAACCCCGGAGAGTTTGGATTTCCCTGCTAAGCTCATCGCACCCCCGGGGTACCGGGAGCCTGAACGCCCGCAGCCCAGACGCCGGGGAGAGGCCAGAACTCCCACCTCCAACCCACACCTCCTCCGAATCGCCCCGGCCCTTCGGTCTCCCAGGCTTGACGTCCTGTACCCCGAGGGTCCCTTCTGGGCCGAGCCGCGAACTCCCTTAGAGCCTGGTGAGGCCCAGGTGCCCGCAGCCCTGCCACTCCCCTCCTCAGCCGCTACTTTCCCCAGTGGCCCCGGGAAAGTCCCCGGCACCCTCAGGCCGGCCCCAGTCCTCACAGACCCCAGTTACCCTTCCTCTCCCGTTTCACACCGCCCCTCAGAGCATCCTCCAGGCTGCCACAGATGCTTGCTTTGGAAAGCAGTTTGGTTCAAAATGATTATTAGTTATCACTTGAAAGGGAATATTTCCAGTCACTGCCTTTCCCCTCACCTTCCCAGGAAGTATTGATACGTTTGGTGCACTACTGAATGGGTGAATAGTATTTCATGTATCTTTTTTATTTTTCCCCCAATAGACAAAACAGTGTTATTTTATTTTATTTTATTTTTAACATTTTTTACTGAGTTATGGTCATTTTACAATGTTGTGTCAAATTCCAGTGTAGAGCAGTTTTTCAGTTATACATGAACATACATACATTCATTGCCACATTCTCTTTCGCTGTGAGCCACCACAAGATCCTGTATATATTTCCCTGTGGTACACAGTACAATCTTGTTTATCTATTCTGTTTCATGTATCTTTGAGTATTTAGGGCTTTTTTTTTTTCCTGACAGGATTTGGGGGACTTTTGTAGGTGAGCATCTTGATCTCCAAACTAGCCTTTTCCATCAGCTCATGTCTTTGCTGTCAGAAAAAATGTAAATGGGCGATAAAGGGCATTGAACTACTAATTTGTAAATGTAAAGACATTTCATAAAACCACAGTTCCAAACCTTCTAAAAATGAATTAGGAAAAAAAAATTTTAATCCTTCAAAATATTTTATTCTTTAAAAATTGTCCTATGTTTTGTCCTGTCAAATCCCTATGGTACGTTTAGATAGTTTCCAAATTTTTGAAAGGAAATATTATGAGCAATTATTTTTAAATGGGCAAAAATATTTAAAGATATGTAGTTGTAAAATCACTTCACGGTGTAACCAAATTATCAAAAAGTGAAAACTCCATGGCTGGTATCCAATTTTGACCAAATTGTCATCTCTAGTTTCATCTGGAGCACCTGGCTCCATTTCCATCCTGTCTCTCACCCTCCCGAGTCTCTTCACGTCTCTGTCCTCCCCAAACTTCCTTACTTTTCTAGATTTTTCCAAACCCTTTTCTCTTAGGATTACTCTATTACCCAACTTAACTCTGTCCAAACTGTTTATTCTCTTTTTTCCAGCTTCCTCTGACCTCCCCTGCCCAGATCCAAATCCCAGATCCGGCCAGTCCTAGGCTCAAGCAGTGCCCTCTCCTCGACCTCAACTCCCATCAAATTCATCAAATTCCTCCCTCAGACTTTGCTTCTTTCCTCTCAGACCCTCACCTACCATTTCATTCTGCATTTCCATAAGATGACTGCTCCTGTGGAGTCCCTGTTGACACTCCTCTAATAGGTTACTCTGGCCTTTCTACATCCTTCTCAGGATGATTTTTTTTCTCTTAACATCCAAGGACACCCTTTTAACTCACATTTTCTCCAGGAAGAAACCTAGGCCTACTCCCTTGCTCCTCATAATTATGACAGCTGTGCCTCTCCCAAGAAACCTGGGGGAGCCCCAGCCACTACCCTGGGGCCCCATCAGATCAGGTCCTGTCCCAGCCCTGGCCCCCGCTGTCGAGCCTGTTCCACCTTCTCTTCCCTGCTCCAGCCTAATGAATTCCAGTGAAGCAGCAGTGAAAAAATTTTTACCCAAGAGCCACTTATCCCAAGTGATTATTCGTGACAACCTCAGTGCACAGCGGATCTATGAGATGGAGGTAAAGTCACAAGCTTTTGCACTAAAGGGTGTTAGGGTGTGTTTGGGGGATGATCACAGATCTTAGAGGTGGTAGGCAGTCATTAAGGTGCTCTGATACAAGCCCATTTGACAGAGGGGGTAGTTGAGACTTGGGATTACTGATTGGCCCAAGGTGTCACAGCTGTCCATGGGCTGAGGGAGCCAAGGAGGATTTCATGTCTCTTAGCTCTTGTGGCATTTTTTTTTCCTCCCTCAAAGCACATTACCCTTCTATTCAGGGAAGCCCAGAGTAGATTCCTGCTATCTGTTGGGTCCCAGAGCTTGGAGTGGCATCAACATAATTTGGTCCTTTTTTTCCTTCAGGGATTATCCCCCACTTTCCACATGAGAACTGAGGCAATTCTACTTCCTGCTTATGGACAAGAAGGGTTTGACTTGTTTACCCAAAGCCCTCAGAAGAAGAGGGAAACCACAGCATCATCACCCCATAGACCCCAACTGATTAATCCATTAAATGGACCTTTCAGGCCTGCTGGGACAGGCATTGTTTGGGGCACTAAGGAAGAGGCTAGTGAGCAGGATGGACTCTGAGAATGTACTCGTTTCTTCAAGCAGAGTAGACAGTCCAGAGTTGAGCAGCTGTCCCCTCTTGACTCTGTTGAGCTACCCTCCATGTTCTAGGACCAAATCTGGATGGGCCCATGGGATTCTGATGTTGAGAACAGTGGGAAAGGTGTGAGAGATAGTGCCATGTCCTCTTAATGGTTGCAAAGACTGAAAGAAGTGTAGAGGCCTGGGTGCTTCTCTCTCCACTAAACTTCCAGTGGTGTGGAGTAGTGGAAATAGGGTGGACTTGGCTGTGGGCAGGCCAGCTATATGTGAACTTGGGGAAGCACTTTTCCTCCAGAACTCTTCTCATTTGTAAAATCTGTTAGAAGTTTCTCAGTTGCAGGTGACACAAACTGAACTTGAACTAGTTCAAGCAAAATGGAGAGTGATGAGTTTACATGATGGAGGGTGGGTAGGGCAGGGTCACCAGTGTCAGGGGTGAGAGATGGCAGGGGCTCCAGTGCCACTGGATGTGTCTTCGGGTCTCCCTCTCAGCTCCTCTTCTGCTGCTTTCTGCACGTGGTTGTCATCATCAGACTGGCTGTCCCTGGGGAGCTTGGCCTTAGGAAACCCTGGGCTGTAGCCCGGAAAGGAAGAAAAGAGCTCCCACTGTTGCTCGAGTTAGATAAATCCCGGAGAAGGACACCAGCTGGCCCTAGTTGGTCCATCCATGCCCCAGTCACTGTGGTCAGGTAGTGTGGGAGACTAATGGGACCAGGATGGGTTGGGGGCCAACCCCTATGACCAGAAGGTTTGGGGATATTGTACCTTTGGTGAGTGGGGTGAAGATCTCTAAGCTATAACTGGAAACTTTGCTGAGTTGGCTTGGTATGTGCTGTCCACCAGCCATCCAGAAGGTCACCTTTAAAGCTGTATTGAGCCTGTCCATGTTTTAGGTACACAAGGTGCATTAAGTGTTATTACCCCATTTAATAGTTCAGGAAACCAAGGCTCAGAGAGATGGAGTCATTTCACTAAGGTCATACCGTGCGTCACTTGGAGTTGCAAACCGGGGACTGACTGATCATGGTGCGGGACGTTCTCCCTTGGGACAGGGACTGCCTTCTCTGTGTTTGTAGACTGTGTCTTGCTGAGGGCCCAGCTTGTAGGAACTCAGTGGATTGGAGAGGCCTGAATGGCAATATGGCAATGTTTCTCTCTCCCCCTAAAAGTGCTCCCATTAGGTGAAGAGGCAGCTTTGGCCAGCCACTGATGTCTCAGAGCCTCAAGGAGGGCAGCTAAGATCTAGCGTCTTGGGAACCCTCTGAGCAGCAGTCTGAGGACAGTGATGATGGCTGGTACCCCTTCATCTATGCCACAGTTCTCACCCTGTGCGGCTTTGCCCCTTAGGGACTTGGGCGTGTCTGGAGACAGTTCTGGTGGCACAAGTGAGAGTGGGGTGGTGTGGTTGGCATCCAGTAGGTGGAGGCCAGGGATGCGATGCTGCTAAACATCCTACCATGTGCCGCCCCCCCTGCCCCACCCCGCCACCTTCTCAGGAAGAATGGTCCCACCCCATACATCAGTGGTGCCGAGGTTGAGAGACCCTGATGCATAGGAAAGGGAGAATCACTCCATGCCTTGCTTAGGAATATTTGCACATGCGTCCCACCTTCCCGACTACATTGTAGTTGCTGTGAAGACCTGTGGCTGATTTTTTGTAGTATTGTCTCCACAACTAGCTCATTGGAGTAAGTGAATGAATGAGTAAGATGAAGGATGTGCTTTCACAAAGGCTGCAGTCCTGCTTGGGACAGGACAGAGGTGATATCCTAGAAGAAATGAGTAGAGCTCAGTGTGACGTAGGGGATGTCCCCGACAATACTCCCACAGCACCAGATGGGCAGTGGGGATGGGGAAATGGGAGTTAAGGAAGGGGGTGGACAAGAGGCACCCTTTCTCCTCCCCCACTGCCCCCTCCTCCTCCCAGCCAGTCTTCAGACAGAGATGTTAAGGTCAAAACCAGGCTCGTAGGCAGCAGACTGTCACAAGATACTGCAGCCGTTATCCAGCTCAGTGCCCACGGTTGACAAGTAGGGAAGTGAGGCTCCCCGTGAGCCAAGTTATTTATGGAATATTAGGTCAAGCCGGCACCCAGGCCTCTCTTCCTGTGAAATAGCTGCTTCATCCTAACCTCACCTCTGTTTTTTGTAAGATAAGAGCTTCGGACAAGACCAAGAAAAAGATGGGCCACTTGTATGACCACCTGAAAAAAAAATTCATGGCAGACCAGCTCAGAAAGCTGGGGCGCTGGAGACGGGACTCCATGAACATCCGCCAGTACCTGGATAGCATCCGAGCACACAAGGTCCCATTAAAAGTCCAGCCTAACAAGAAAAGCCGGCCACCCTAGTCAAGGTGGATGAGCTGCCCCGGGGCCGTGATGACACTTGTCTGATGGGAGAAGAGCTAGAAACCGGTCAGTCCATGCTGATGTGAAACAACAATAAACTGAGACCAGTGGACAGTGGAGCACAAAACCCCTCAGCACTTCTAATATTTCTTGTCCCGGCCCATCCCCTTCGCTGGTAAAGGCTGTCCTGATAGTCCTGTAGCTGCCCAACTGGAAAGGGCTGAATCAGGCTGGCTTCTAAGGTTGAGGCAGAGGCTGACCTTTGGTACCCACATGTCTGAGTCAGGGCCAGGCCAGGTGCGCTGGGACATCGGTACCTTAGGTGGGAAGGGCTCGGTGATGCCCCCGCCTGGCATTCCAGTGGGAAGGAGTCAGGGTGGGGCATCAGGCAGATGGGTTAAGGGTTATTTCTGCCATCCATCAGCTGTGTGACTTTGTAACCTCTCTGAGCCTCTGTCTTCTTATCTGAATGAACCAGGTAGTAATGAGGGCACCTACCCCCAACAGCTGGCCTGAGGGTGTGGAGGGCTTGGTCCAGGGCCTGTCATTTTCAATGACTGTCATCTCGATGCCTACAGTTAGTGTCCAGCCTCACCAGCCCCCACCCCCGGCCTGCCTGCTGTCCCCACTACACCCCAACAGCCCCCACATTTTACCTTTACTTGCACATGCCCCGCACCTAGAATACCTCTTCAGCCCCCCAAGGCTCTCAGGAAGCTCTTCTCATCCTTCAAGGCTCATCTCAATGCCATTCCTCCCCCTCAGAGCTTCTCTGACCTGCTTCCTGCCGGTCCCTCTACCCCCACTGCCTAAGCCATGTGGGTTTCCCCTCCCCTCTGAACCTGGCTTACCTGTGGTGGCTTCACTCTGCCTCCTGTGGTAGATGTTTGGGTGTTTGTCCCAACCAGTGATTACACTGTCCAGTCTGTGAGAGCAGGGGCCAAGGATCCCCCAAGATCCAGTTCAAGCCTCTTCGCCACTTCCCCCACCGTGGCCCCAGTGGAAAAGGCCTTCCTTCCTCTGCTTACATGTCTGTCCGCACCGAGCATATAGTTGGCCATTTCTTATTTGTTCACTGTATCCCTGACCGCGTTGTGAAAGTCTCGGGGGCAGGGAAGCTGACTTGTTCATCTCTGTAACCACAGTGCGTAGTAACTGGAGTTGTCACTTGATGGTTTTTGAATAAATGACTCATTCCTTTTCGTATTACTCACAACTTCAGCACAGTGCCCTCAGTAAGGGCCTGGTACATATTTTTTTAAGTTAACTAAGTCTCCTCATTTTACAGATGAGGAAACTGAGGCTCAGAGAGGTGTCCTGACTTGCTCAAGGTCATGCAACAAGTTAGTGGCAGAGAACTAGAAGCAGGTTTGTTGCCTGCATGGAGTGGTCATTCTGCATCACCGCAGCTGCCAGGTAATGACCTCAGCCCTCTTGGTGGCTTTCGGTGGGTTCGTCCTCACCCTCATCGTACCCTTTGGGCATTGCTGCCGAGACATTCAGCAGGCTTTCCTTCCAGGGGGACCTCAGCGAGCCCCCATCCCAAGGGGACCAGGGAGTCCATGGGCAGGGGTGGGAGCTGGATGTTCGTGATGCTCCCTTTTCCCTCTTAATGGTCTTCCTTTGAGAACCTGCTGCTTTTCAGTGGGGGCCAAAACGGGTTCTTGTCTGTTTTCTTGGCTGAGCACAACCGATGGTAATAATTGGTTTCAAGTATTTAAATTTTATTACACAGCAGCAGCATCATGTTTGCCAAAAACGAAAACAAATTCTTCTGTTGGATCCACCGCTGCTAGGGCTTTGGTGTGTTTCTTTATTTTGTGTATTTGTTTCATGTTGCCAGCAGTCTTTTTCCTTGGCACTGTACCTAAAAGGGGGAAAGGAAGGCTTTAGGGATCCTGGCATCTTCAGAGGACCAGCAGAGCAGCCCCAGCCCCTCTTTTCTCATATTGTCCCTGAGAACTCCCCACCTGCTACGTCTCTCCTAATGCAGCCTCTCCGAGCCTCACCCCAGTCTGGCCCCCGGCCACATGCCCCCTTCTCCCTGGATGGTTGGCCTTGGCAGAGGGTCTTTGCATCCTTGTCCTGTGGTCCAACGGACTGGGCGACCCTTGGGAAGGGGGTTGGGTGAGGGAGTTGGGATGCCAAACTAATTAAGTCACTTTATAAGCCACTAACTCATCTCAGATTGTGTGGACTTAGTCTTCCCATTTTCCCAACCAGAGAATGGTGCATGTAAGTAGGGAACAAGAAGTGATGAAATCCTAGAGAGGCTGCCTAATTGTTTGTAGTTGAAAAGAAGGAAAAATCAGAGAGGGAAGAATGTGGGAGTATTGGATGGGAAGATATTATTCGAGAAATAGAATCTTGAAGCTAAGGAGGGCCTCAGGGATTCTTTAGTCCGGTGGACACACAGACACACAGAACTCTTAGTTCAAATGAAGTCTCACATGGAAGCCCATTCCAGTCATTAAAACCATTGACACATTCACATTTACTGAGCGCTCAGATGCCAGGCACAAGGCTCAGCTCTTTTGAAACGTAATTCATTGAATTCTCCAAACAACCAAGTAGGTAATTTTTTTTAAAGTTTTTTTTTTTTACTTTTTTTTTCACAGTGGGGAGGTAATTTAGGTTTATTTATTTACTTATTTATTTGGTTTTTCAATGGAGTCACTGGGGATTGAATCCAGGACCTCGTGCATGCTAACTCTACTACTGAGCTATACCCTTAGGAGGCCCTGAGAGGTTAGGTAATTTCCTTGAAGTCCTTCATTTTTAAATGTTTTTTCATTTCTTTTTTTGGGGGGGAAGTACTGGGGATTAAACCCAGGACCTCTCACATGCTAAGTGCATGTTCTACCACTGAGCTAAACCCCACCTGCAAAGTAGGTAATTTTATTAGCCCTGTATTACAGATGAGAAACAGGCTCAGAGAGCAAGAATCCCGCCTAAGGTTGGGGAGCTAGTAAGTGGCAAGAGCCCCCCTTAAGTCTGTCTCACTCTGAGGACCATCTCTTGAGTGCCATGTGAGAAGCCCCCAGTCTGGATCACTCAAGTTGGAAGTGGAGGCCCAGGACCTGGAGCCCCTGGAGCATGACGTCACAGATGGTGGTGTGGGAGCCTCTGCTGTTACGTCAGTTACCTGAGGTTAGCCGTTACAGCAGCTGGACTGAAATCCAGGTCCCCCTTCTACCCGGTGGCTCAGGAGAACCTGTCACCCATCCTGGGATGGATAGAGGTCGGCTGCATTAGTGGGAGGTGGATGAGGCAGATGCCCACCCGGAGGCAGGAGAACAGAACACAGGACCATTTCCTGACCATTGCCCTTTAGCTGTGAAAAGATGTTTTCAGTTCGTCCTCAGAAAGTCTTTGTGGAATATCCTTTGTGTCTGAAAAACTGTGCTGATGGCAGGAGACAGGTGATGATGCTCTTAATGAGATGAGGTGTGTTTGAGCAAACCTTCCATTCTTGCTGAAGATACATCTCCTTCCCTCCACCCCTGTCACACCACATGCACATCACTACTCAGGGTACTTAGAAACCCCTCCTGGTTTAGAAAGCTTGCTGCGTACACAGGGGGCCTCGCTCCTTCCCTCTCCAGAATCTCTTCATGACCTGGAACAAAAGAGGGGCACTTCTGTTTACCAAACACCTGTTACATGCAAGGCATGTTACATCAGACCTCACTCAGGCCTCACAGCAGTACTCTCCAGGTATCACGCCCACCTTTAAGGTGAGGAAACCAAGGCACGAGAGGCTAAGGAACGTGCTCAGAGTCCCTCAGTTTGAGCCATGGTGTGAGATGCACGAGGTGTGCTCTTTCCACGTCATCCAGCCATCCTGGTGGTCTCAGCTTTGTTGTGCGTACCACCCTCAGTATCAGCCATTGGTGGCCACAGGAACTGCCTTGTGAGGGATGCCCATATGTGGCCCTGGTCCCCGAGTTTCCTTGCAGCCGCCACTGTTGACCACGGTGGCCAGTGACATGGCAGAGAGGAAGTCTTGGATGCTTTCCCTCACGGCAGGTCCCAGCTCCTGGCTGTCAGGCAGGGGCAGTGGCTTCGCAACCCCAGCAGGTGGAGCAGCCTGCCAAGGGGCTAGGCTGCTAGAGTCATAGGGGTGGCTTGTCGGAATGGGGGAGGCAGGTAGCTGCTACAGTTGCAGCTATGAGCGATCCCAGAGTTCTTACACATCTGCCCCATCCACCCATCCACCCATTCACCCATCTACCTGCCCACCCACCCACCCACCTGTCCGTGTGGCACTGCAGCACACAATCGGAACACAGAGGTGGAAGAACTGGTTTTCTTGTTTTCTGTGACACCTCTCACTTTTCCCAATCAGCATGGGGACGTGGGGTGACCTGCTGACTGGGAGTGCCTCTGCCCTGATTCTCTCTGACTTTGGACAAGTCACCTCTCAGCTCTGAGAGTTGGGGGAGCTGGGAAAATCTCAAGAGTTGCCTTGTGCAGGTCACTTCTATTTCACCAACAGGTAACAGAGGCAGAGTGGGGAACTGACTTGCTAAGGTCAGATGAGGAATTAGTGGTGCATTTGGGACTGGGTCCCAGGGCCCTGCCGCTCACTTGTCAAGTGAGAGTGAGAATCCTGGCTCTCCTCACCTCTTGGGATTGTAGGGAGGACCTCACGAGGTGAGTAGTAGGAAAGTGCTCTGAGAAGTGAAGTCACCAGGGCTGAATGTCCTAGAGGTGCAACGAAGGCCCCAGCTGCTGGGCCAGGACAGATCCCACAGTGACCACGAGGGGTCAGCAGATGCTCGTGCGCTCAGGCGGGATCTGCTGGAGGGCATGTTCCTGTGTGTCGGGTCTGGGAGGGAGGCCCAGGCATTTAATTCCTGGGGACCCCCAGCACAAGCAAGAGGACTGATGCATCCCAGACCACCCTCTTGTGGAAGTGGGACGTGTTGCTCGGGGAGTACAGTGCCGAGCCTGGCCCAGCTGCCGACGTGGGAACTGCAGGACTCCGAGGGCTGAGGGGGCAGAGCCGGGAGCAGACCTTGGACTTGGACTCCCCTGCCTCCCCCAGTAACCTTTCCCTGGGCTTCAGCTCTCCCACATGCAGCTATGTGGGGAGGGGCTGCTGCTGGCTGATCTCTGCACTTCCTTCCATTCTCCGAGCCTGAGATGTGGCTCAGACCTCTGCAAGTGTAATGCTCCGTAAATATCTGCCGAGTGCATGGGAGCAACTCCTGCTCAGAGCAAAGCCAGAGACATCCAGGTCAGTCTGTGGCCACAGATACAAAAGTAGATGCGGGCCTGTGTCTCATTTTACCCAGGACAAGAGATGCACAAGCTAAGCGGGAGGCAGGGCAGCACGTAGCTAAGAGCACAAATCTGGAAGGAAGGCCCCAGTTCAAACCCCAGGTCGGCTGCTTTCTGGCTCTACTCTGCGTCCCTTAGCAAGCGCCTGCCTTGTGAAACCAGTCGGTGTAGGTTTCCTCTGCTGTTACGCAATTGGGTCTGTCCTCCCTCTGATCCCTTTGCTGAATGAGGATATCTGGCTGGAAGCTCTGTGTCGGGCAGAATCATAAATAGCAGAGTCAGGCGGGCTCTACTCTGTGGTGCCAACATCCACTCTGCAAGCCCTTGCTGACCTCAGATATTTAATTCAGTTTCTTTAGAGAAGAGACATACTGTTTTCTGCCTGGGAGAGATGTTACCTGCACTTTGCAAACTTATCTGCCCCATCCCTGCTCCTGATGCGAGTTTGTGTTATATGCTGAGTAGATACAAAAGGATACTGTAAAAGATGTGTACAGCATACAAATAATGCAAGACACTCATGGGCTCACTAACCAGTTTGAGGAATAACCCCCCCCCATTTTAGTTCTTTCCACCCTCTGCCATAACCTGTAGACTTAAAACAATTTTTTAATTGAAGTATAGTCCGTTTGCAATGTTACGTTAATTTCTGGTGTACAGCATAGTGACTCAGTTATATATATACATACATATATTCATTTTCATATTCCTTTTCATTATAGGTTACTGCAAGATACTGACTATAGTTCCCTGTGCTATACATTATAAACTTGTTGTTTATCTATTTTATATATAGTAGTTAGCATCTGCAAATTTCAAACTCCCAATTTACTCCTTCCTACCCCTTTAACCCTGATAACCCTAAGTTTGTTCTCTATGTCTGTGAGTCTGTTTCTGTTTTGCAAATAAGTTCATTTATGTCTTTTTTTTAGATTACACATATAAGCAGTATCATATGGTATTTTTCTTTCTCTTTCTGACTTCACTTAGAATGATGATCTCCAGGTCCATCCATGTTGCTGCAAATGGCATTATTTTATTCTTTTTTATGGCTGAGTAGTATTCCATTGTATATGTATACCAGAACTTCTTTATCCAGTCATCGGCATCTGTCACTTTCTAAATGATTTATTTGGTTTATTTCTGTATCTTACTAAAAGGTAAGCCTCAGGAAAGCAAGAGTTTTTGTCAGATTTCTTTCACTGCTCTATCATCAGGGCCTAGAAGAAGACTTGGCATAAGATACGAACTCAATGAACACTTCTTGAATAAAGACTTCTTTCTAGTTCTCTTTGCTGTTTGGTACTTTTCAGATTTTTAATACTTTTATTTCAGTGGGATCTCTTTGGGTCTCAAGATGGGAGGCACCCATGGGTGCTTGTCAGATACCCTGAGGTAAAAGTCTCCATGTCAGTGGTTCTTAATGTGGGGGGATCATGGACCCCTCTAAGATTATGATGAAACCTACAGAACACACAGATCGGCACTGACGCTTAAAATTTACACATAGTTTATGAAGACCGTAAACTTCATCTTAAGGACCTGTGCTCTTAGATCATTTCTGGACAGATGCGTAGAAGCTATTAACTCACCAGCCCCAGAGAGGAAGAAGAGGGGAGTTCTCCTTTCGTTGTATACACCATATACTTCAGTTCTGAATAGTGCATGCGTTACAATTTCAACGTTTTAGAAACCAGTTAAACATTTTGAAGGAACCTATGTTCTAACCCCCTGGGGTAATCACACAACTCGTATGTCTTCAGGGGCCAGAGAGGTAGGTGCTCTTGGCTTTTGGACACTAGGCAGCAGTGGGATCTGTGGTGAAATGGAGCTTGCGTTCCCCACCCCAAATGCTTAAATTCAAAGGCATGAAAAACATGGTGTTGATCAAACTGCTCTGGCCTCTGTTTAATTCATCTCACCCAACATTTCACAGAACACCCTCTAGTTGAATAACTAGAGAACATTTATTGAGCACCTACTATGCCAAATGAGCTTTATTTATATGATTTATTACTCTCAACCTGTGAGGTAGGGATTTTATCCTTGTTTTACCGATGAGTAAGAGGAAGCTCAGTGAGGTGGCTAAAGGTCCCACAGCTAGGGAGTGGCTGGGCTGAGATTTCCTTAATGGATCTGACTCTCAAAACCCACAATTTTCCCTCCACATCACTGTCCATCAAAGTGTGGTCCATGATCCACCCACATCAGAAACTGCTGGGGAGCTCATTAAAATGCGTGCTCCTGGATTCCATCTCAGACCTACTGACTCAGAATTCCAGGGAGATGGAGATGGAAAACTGCATTTCTAAGCTTCCCTGGGGTGGCTTGAAAGAATTTTTTGAATAGGTGAAACAGACACAGAGTTAAGACATTTGAAATGTTCAAATGGGAATAAATGAAAAGCAAGACTGCCACTGCATTCCCCAGGTGCCACTTGTCTACCCACTGTCACCAAGGCAATCACTTTTCCTTGATACTGAAATTTGAGGACCCTCTTTTGTATTTATGGGATATACCTTGATGGGTAGGCCTCTGCACTCCAGAGCTCACAAAATTCTCCAGGTAAGACCACCATTCAGGAGCAGGTGCCCCAGGAAGGGGTCCCAGAGGCACCAGCAAAGATATGGAACTTCTGCTTAGGGGAGTGTCTGCACCTCCTTGTTTCTAGGACCTTCCAGTCTGTCAGCACCTGCCATCACTTCACATAGGGGGCTTCTCCTGCACAGGTGGTTTTGTCACAAGCAGGATAAGGGATAGACAGTGGGTAAGGGGAAAGTAAGGATGAGCAGAGAGGAGCCTGCACCGAGGTCTAGAGCTGGAGGGGTCTGGGCAGACGCCCACTACCCAACCTTTCAACCTGTGTTTCCCTTTATTTGTAGTAACCATTGACCTTTCCCTTTAGGACAGATTGTTTAAAATCAGTGCTGTTTAACCTTTCTGGGATCGCAGACTCCTTTGGGAATCCTATGAAAACTAGGGACCTTCTCCCTAGAAAAATACACAGACCAGTGAAACTCTGCAGACTATCGCAGAAGCTTCAGCCAGCCAAGATTCCCAGGGACGTCCAGGTGGAACCAGTTAAGAACTTCCACTTTTAGATGTGCTCCTTGTACTAAAACGTTCCACTTACAATATAAACGCTTTCTCTATTCCCTTAGATAGCCTGGACTATGTTGCCACTTGCAGCGAAGTGTCCTGGAAGAACCCGAGGCCGGCGGGCCCAGGAGGTGGAGGTGCGGTGGCTTCAGACCCCTGAGCCTGGTCGCAGCGGAGGGACCCATAGACAGGTAATGTCTCCCGTTGAGGCTGGTGGGCGTCCTCCTCAGCTTTTGGCTTCATCTGGCTGAGCGCCTGTGCTTCGGG